CCAACATTTACTTTGCTTTCAAATACAGGGGTTAATACTCATATGACTGCCTGTCATGTAGGGGTGACTCATTAAGAATTTTGAATATAAAATTGCCTTGAGGCTGAAACATTCTTTTTTTCTTCTTCTTCTAGGGGGAAAAAGCAAAGCAAAAGCTGTAAAATCTAACTTTTTCAAAACTTGCAGATTTCTATATGCAGAGTTTCAGGTTTTGGAAATCAATAAAAGAAGAATAAACATACGGCAAAGGTGTCAAATAAGCGAGCCATATTTTTCTGACAACTTTACATATCCAGTATCCACCTGAAGCTACTGCATTGCCCAGCCTGCCATATTTCTGGAAATCCCAAGTAATGGTACAAAATCCTTAAAGTGAGCATGAATAAAATTCCTGGTTGGAAAGAAAGAGGTCTGTATCTGGTTCTTCCAGAACAGCTTCAAAGTCCTATTTCGTAAGTATATGCAAAGCCTCGAATTTCATGTGTCTCTGGATCTGTCAAGACTACAGTTGCTTCTAACAACTGATGCACATACATATAGCAATGTACTTAAGAACCTATATTAAAAAGAACATTAAAGTGAAAAGTCAGGGGTTCAGAAGTTAGGAAATACAAGGCTTAAAAAATTGCCACAGAGTTTTTGGTCAGCTCCTTTTTGTGTCACTACCTTATGTTGTGACTTTAAGTCATAACATCTCTAACACTGGAGGTTGAAAGGTGCTTTAGAGTGAATAAAGCATATCTACTTCATATTTTTCATTTACAGAATTTATTTTCTTTTTTCTGCTCAGCTTAGAACACTAAAATTATAAATAAAAATTGGTAAAAACATCCATTGGCTTGTTTGATGGCCAAGGTGCAAATTTATTTACTGGATAATTTTACTGCCCAGAGCTGATTTACCATATTCGATGGCACAATATATTCTGTGCACACACACACGTAGCAGGAGCATAAGCAGGGATACACTTTTATTCCATTTCTTACCTCTGAGTTGACCAAAGCAGCATGGGCACATGATCCAGTGGCAGAGAGGTTTCGAGCAGCGCAGCAAGGGAGCAGAGCAGCAGGGCTGGAGCAGCGGGGCAGAGCCGTGTCATGGCTCCAGGCGGGTGCGTGCGGAACTGGCCAGCTGCAGAGGGAAAGCCCGAGTGTGTGCACAGCTGCACTTCCCGCTTGGGCTGCTGTTAGCCGCATTCAGCCAGGCTGCCGGGTGACGCTGCTCTACAACAGCCGGGGGAACTTTCAAAACATCAACTTCCTTCACTTGAACTTGGGAGTTACTCGTACTTTTATTACTTCCAGGTTTGTGATTTAAGCAGCTTGTAAAACTCCCTGCAGTGAAAGCACTGCCGGTTTCCTCTAACCTTCAAGTGCAAGGGAGAGTCATGAAGTCCAAACTCCTGTCCTACACAGGCTGATAACAGTTATACAACTACAAAATGGAGTTTACAGGAAAGTTTTCTGTACAGCACAAAATACATTCTGCAGAACTTCTATCTTCTTCCCCTGCTACATATTACCATGTCCCTCAGCTTAGTTTTTTCACATGTCTTGAGATCTGGCGTCACACATTGGGGTGTTGACAGGTTTGAAATCTGCAACAAACTGCAGATTCCAGCAAGAAGGAAGAGAGAGAAAATGGCACGTTCAGAGCCACTGAAACACAGAATTCTTAAGCTATCTTTTGCATGGAGGAATGCTATCCCAGAAATCAAAAATATCTAAAGTCAGGGGCAAATTATAATCACTTCAGAACATGACACGACTTCAGTATTTCACAAGTCTCATGCAAGATCAAAATAGTCTTAGAGAATTCCTTCATGCCCGGAAGCAAATTGCTCTGGCAGACTATTTTTGTGCCTGCCAAACACTGAGCGGTTTCTACACCTTGTGACTACATTAGGCATCAGCAGCCTCAGCACGTGTTTGGCTCTGGGCACAAATGCCTCCTCACCATCAGAACAGGATAGAGATCATACACAAAAGAAGTTCTGAGCTATGTTACAACGAGTTGTGATAAGGGAAAATAAGGAAGCACAATGAAAATTGTACAAAAAGACACAAATAGAGGTCAGAAGACATGTCTAAATCATGCACATGTAGCCAAATTAGTGAAATCCATTTGCCTTGAATCACAGTATATTGTTTTAGTATGGGTGCCTAATAAGGCAATTTGTTCATCAACTCAATCTGAAATCTTATTTCTCAGAAAAAAAAATAATTTTAAGGGTAGCAATAATTGTCATGTTCCTTTTCTTCTTACCTTTACATAACACAGAATTTAACTCTTTAACTGTACTTTTTCCTCTCCTCAGAGATATATTAGAAATCCTTTCTGTTCCCTTTAACAAGGCAGTGTTTGTTTAAGGATGAGTACAGACTTCAAAAACAGAGGTAGAAACAGAAGCACTGAGACAGAATAAAGGAATTGCAGAACTTCCAACAATGCTCAGTTTTGCAAAAGGAAAATATTTGACACATTAACCAATTTACACACTGTTGCAAAGATGTAACCCTAGGCCCTATGTCAGATGCACAAATAGTCAGCAGGTCTGGTCACAATCAGAAGAGCCAGTTGGGTCCACAAATCATTGGTTTATTGAAAGCAGCCTGTATGTTTCTTTTGGATTGCCGGTGAAAAATGCAGTTACTGCAGAATATATAGCATTAACAATACAACTGCACTCACAAGTTTAATTTCCTGGGTCAATACTCAGCATAACTGATGACCCAAGACTTACCAAAAGGCATTCTTTTTGTGAAGGGCAAGAAAGACAAACCAATCAATCTGTCCCTTAAAATTTTGTGTCAAATTCTCATCCCCCATTGAAGTACAAAATTGAGGTACATTTTATACCTTATTAACCACTATAGCGTGTATGGCTGTGGATGGGTGTGTGGTCAAACCTCCCACTCCGTGTAGCTGCATTGTATGGAATATTTCCTGGTAGGAGGTGAACTTGGTTTGTACAGAACGTTTCTGGGCAGCATGTAGAACACAAGCACGTGGTTTCTAGCCTCACTTCCTTTTCCTCCCCATGCCCTTGGCAACACAAAGCACAGGACTCCGGCTGGGTTCCGCAGGTGCTCCGACAGCCGTGGGCCCCGCACACTGAGCTCTGCCTTCCCCTCTCTGCTCTGTGCTTCCAACACACACAAGTGAGCTGCACAGTTGGTGGGGATACTGTGTACTCTGCCTTACAGAAACTGCCTTAAAAACTTCCTCAAACATAACCAGATTGTTTTCTCTCAGATTACCATATCACTTACGACAAACTTTTAACTGAAAACAAACTGACTTTTTTTTAATATTTCTCCACAAACCAGTTTGAGAACAACTGAAGTGAAGAAGGCTTTGAAAAAAAAGGAATGAGAAGAACCTATTGAGTGGGATTTTAATTTGCTTCCCTAAGTAAATTTAGCTCACAAATATGTCTGCATATATTTTCTCCTTTTTTTCTTAACTCCTAAAAATAGTGGGTTTTTGCCAAATAATAAGAAAAAAATATACCTATTGCAAAGAGATTTTAACAAAAATATTATTTGCTTTCATTTAATTAAGATTAGAAAAGATCAAATTGGGTTTTTTTATCTGCGAGCAGGAACCTAAACCCACTTTTTATTAATATGTGTTGGTATACACAAAAGCACACACAGTTTACTGTTGCATTTCCACAGGGCTTTTTCCTTGAACATTCATCCATGATATTGACTCCAGGTTTAGAACTGCTTTATTATGGAGATATTTTTAAATGCGACACAGACTCAAAATACCAAAAATCAAACTACTGTGAAATCATTATAAAATGGCAATGAAGAAGGAAATATTTCCATTACCATGCATCCCCACTTAACTACAATAATTTTATTAAGAAAAGCTATAATATTGAATACTTTATACTTACATTCTACTCCTAACCATTTCTCTGGATTTTTACATGTTTTCTTTTAGAATTAATGGATGAGAAATAGTGAGGCCAGCAGGAGCAGAGCAGGGATTGTTCCCCTGTACTCAGCACTGGTGAGGTCATACCTCAAATGCTGTTCACTATTAAGCTGCACTTTGAATACAGTTTTGGGCCCCTCACTGAAGAGAGAGATTGAGGTGCTGGAGCATGTCCATAGAAGGGCAGGAGTAAATTTAGTTTTCAGCTGTTTGCTGCCAAATATGTACTTACTTCTCTTTGTAAATGCTTTTTCCTAGGTAGTTTCATCTGTTAGAGCAAAAGACTGGGTCAAAACCACATCTACAACAGCGGTTTCAAGAAGAACCTTGCAACTTCCTGTTGGATTTTTGAATTTACACCATATAATGTTTTTCTCTGTAACTATGACCAAACATAAACTTTTTTAGTGATGGGGGTAATTTACTTCCACAAATACAAACTCCTCAAAAAGAAATATATTTCAAACATTCTGAAATGTGTATTTCAAAATAAGATATTTAAATTATAATACTCAAATTATAATAATTTCAACACCTTGGATACAATAATTTTATGCGGGCAGTTCCACTATGACCATCTAGATGAGCTACAAAATGAAAAGTTGTTCTTTTGCACAAAAGTTTGCAGGGCAAAGCAGTTATCTGGAAAGCTGTATCTATTGTGTTCTGAAAGAATCCAAGGTTTGAGGGGGTTTCTGCCTTATGTGCTTGAGACAAGAAAAATAAATTTAATACAATGCTATAGTATTAATTTTTTAAATAAAGGGTGACAAAGAATTAACAAAATTTGCCCAAAATGAATATTTACTACAGAATGTTCCAAACAATGCAGCAATACACAGAAAAATAATCATTACTTTAAAAACTAAGAAATGACAAACCTCTTTAACAATATTTTATTTTTTTTTAAATGAGGTTACAGAACTTGAAATGCAGTAAAATTAAGTGATTGAGATCAAATTACTTTATCCTTAGAAGTTTATTTTGATCTGTGTAGTACAATTAGGGTATTGATAAAAAAGTGTATTTTTTTTAAAACCTAGGAATTTAGTTCACTTCTTTAACTTTGAAGAACAATGTTTCATGTAGGAATTTGCATTAGCCTGATTGTTACTTCTATGCAAAAATGGTGACATCGCAGGAATTTGAGCAAAGTAGTTTTTTGCCCGGATATGCTTTTGTTCTACTCTGTAAATAAATGGACCTTCATAAGTCTGAAATGAAAAACAAATTCAAAACCCATAAATACAATTAAAATATCTAAATATATGTGTTGCTTCATATTTTAGACATTATAAACATTTGGACATATTTTAGACATTATAAATAGTGACCCTTTAATAAACTAAGGCAGATCATTTATTTGTATATATACATAATGAAATATCTTTTAGTTCTATAGTACTATCTTAAGTGAAAATTTCTCCTTGTGAAATATTAGCCATGTTTTAAAATCAGAGTAACGTTTTTATCCATTCAAGATAAAACTTACTTATTTCTTTATTTCAGGTGAGAACATTTGTACTTACATTTGAAAATGAAATAAGGCAATGCTTAGATAGAAACATATGCAAGGTGAAAACTGTAAGGGCATTTCTTGATGAGAATCAGAGTCACTATTTTCAACTAATCATGGCAGGAAGTATTTTGCAGCATTTCAGTCTGCACTTGCATGCAGTGGTGATATTTTCCCAAATTCCTAGTTAGTAGTAGTAGTTTGGATGATGGAATAAATAATCAGAATATTTAACTGAAAAACCCTTTTGCTATTGCTGTAGTCATCACTTTAAATAACTACTATTAAATAAAATCACTATGAATAATTGCTATTGAATAAATGGTTTAAGAGGCCTTTTTTGTTTCAGTGAATGAGAAACAATGATTCAACTTATAACATTCTGGTTTTGCTTCATTTTCCTTATTTTACACTCTTTTCATTTTTTTTCTTTTGAAGAAGAAAATTGAGTCTTCACTACAATTGATTCACTTCTGTATTTGTTGCAAGAGCTAAAGAAAATACCTCATGGTTTTTATGTAGGATTGTGTAAATTACCTGTTCTGACCTAACTTCTCCATCCACTGAAGCCCTGGACCTAATCAAGTTAATAGCATTTCTTGGACTATGACATCCAGACTCATGGCACCAAACTAGAGAAGTGCTCAATCAGAGAAAACTGATCAAAGAACTGCTTTGCCTGCAGTAGTGCTGGTAACAGAAATTTATGGATGCTGAGGAGCCTCACTAGATTCAGATTGTCTGAATAGCCTTCTTGACTTACAGTGAGTGAGAGGAGTCAATAAAGGGATTTCCAGCTTGAAACTGATTTTACCTTCTAAAGCTAAAGCTCACATAAATGTGTCTGCTTGAAGACACACGCTGGGCACTCACACACAAAATATAATGGTTGGCAGAATCCCTTTTGCCTTTAGAATTCCCTGATATATTTCATCCATAAAGCAAAACTTTAAAGAGAGCAATTAATTTGCTCTGTTTAGTTTGCTCTTAAGACTTCCAAAAAGAAGAACAATACATAACAGCCAAAGTTGCATTTCTGATGCACATATATTGTGTTAAAAGTTGAATTAAGAACACCCTGAACAAAAGAACACTAGGCAACAATGACTGCAGATCACTGCTTACATAAATCAATAACCTGGAGCTGAAAGTCTTAATAAGCCATTATCAAGTGCAGGACAAACACAGGTCACAGGATTCTCCTGCGCCTTACAAAACTAAGTACTCTCAATATATGATATTCAATGGAGAGATATTTCATAGACTACCATGTATAGATATGAAATTTGGGGGAATTGGTGTAAAAAGCCAGTTTTGATGATGAGTTGAACACAGTCCTAAGAAGTTTTAATTAGGAAAAGAAATTATGTTGCTATTTTTTAAATGCAAATTATAAGGTTACATTGTAAGGGATACTTAGCTGATATCTAGGTAAGAAAGTAATGACAAATATTATGATGATGAATGGATAAGTTATAGATAAGTAACAATTCTTCTTTTTGATGAGAAATTTAGAAGACCAGAAACTAATGACGGCAGAGTGTGTGCAAGAACACAGGCACACAACTGTAACAGTATTTATAGTTAGTCTTTAGCATGCTTTTCATCCAGGCTAGCTCCTGTCTGGTGTGATCTGAGGGAAGAGTGCACACATGGCACTGTCCTCAGCAGGCAGCATGGATAAGACCACTCAGCTTCCTGCATTTCAGGAGGGACAATTGGGTCAAGACAGAGTTCAGGTACATGGAATGAGCTGCACATGCCAGATGCCTTTTGGATTAGTGTCCATTTTGTTTAGTAGTACAGATGCAATCATTTAAATAGCCACAATGAGCCAATTTAAACATGGACAAGTGTAATGATTAAATTTGGCCCTAACATAATTAGTCACAGGATTCGATTAAAACATAACATAAAAAAATATAAAACATAAAACCCACTGAAATTTACCTTCAGAGGGTCACACAGCTTAAGATGTGCATCTGCCTCTTCTTCAGTGAGGAGAATAGTGTTCCATGGAGACCACTCATGCTGCTTATCCCACCTGACCATAACTAAATCATACAGATTACTGCAGGCACTGAGAGCTGACTGGCAGTTCCATATCTTCTCAATCAGGTACTGCATATCTGGAAGCTGAAATGAAAAACAGGGTTAAAAAGGAAGAAGCATGTTTCATTCTACAAGTCTTGCACCCATGTAAAAATCCAAATAAAGCTTTGGGTAAAAAAATTTCTATGCACATGTCATATGGTTATGTCACTTGGTTAAAGAGCATCTTGACACACATACATATTTTTTGCACAGCTGTTGGAACATCTGATTCTCTGACCTGCCAGCTAGACTTTTTTTAGTGTATAGCTTGCAAACCACATTTAAAAGTACACCTATGCTTCAAGAGCTTAAGAGCTGCTTCTTTATGGTGTGGAACATATCACAGGAAGAAGCTGTAGCTTTTAGCCCATTTCTCAACCTCTCAATAACACACACAAAATAAAGGATATATAGTCAAAGCCACTGCTTACTATGAGTAGCAATGCTCTTTCCAACAGTACCTGAACTAAGAAAACGATTTTACTATCATCCTGATAATCAACTTCAGACTTCCTGAGATTTTCAAGTATAAGTCTGTACTTCAAATATGCTTCTCGTTTCCGAGCCTCATTGTCAAGCTGGTAACACGAGCGACATCTGCCAATGGTGCGGGAATTTGCAGGAATGAGAAACTCAGTAGATGGTAAATAATTTTCGCAGCTGTGACAGAAGTAGATATTTTTATAAAGCTTTAAGGGATCTTGTGGAACCTAAAAATTAAAAAAAACATTAATTTACTACAGGGTGTATTAATACAGGTTGTATTACTTGTATGTCACTCTAACACTGTCAGGATATGTCTTGCATATCTTCATGCAAGTATTTTAATATGTAAAAGCTAGAAGTATTTATTTTAAAATACCCAATAAAGTGTTTTGATTTTTCTTTGATAGGATACCAAGAGTCACTGTATTTTCTTGCTGCATTTGCTAAAATCAGTTATATAAATCAGTCAATCCATTTTTAAACTATATGAAGAGCCTAAACATTATGTTCTAGTGCTCTTCCTGGTGCTTTTATGTATGCAGATTGTCAGTTATTCTGGATAGATGACAACACAGAGAAAACAGAAACTAAATTCTCTGCATTTGATTTTTCACGTAGAATCTGCTTTTTATGGCAAAGATAAAACCCTGAGATTATGGGCATATTAATATTTTGGCATAAGAATACAAAATCATGTATTCTTATCAAGTACAAAATCATGGACCACCATGTCCAGATACATGGGGAAGAAAATAGACTAAACTTGATAGTGACCCCCTCATCCCCATATTCCTTCATGGGTTCTGGAAAGAATGTAATGTAGTCTATGCAGAGCGACCAAGTTTGTAACTGGATAGTTTGAGTAGTCTGATACTTCAGTCTCTGCTATGGTACATCTGCTAATAACCTAGTGTAAAATTAACTGTTAGTTTGTTCTAAATCTAACATCTGCATCTAAATCTGACAGATTCTCTACTCCTGAGATAACACTGACCACTGTACAAGCAATGCTCTTCTGGTAGATGCAAAACAAACATTGCTACTTAGAGCAGCAACCTATGATATTGAATAATATTTTTATTTGTAATCTGTAGTCAGAAAAGAAAAACACACAATACTAAATACATCTTCTTTGCACAGAGTAGCAACTGATTCTTTAAGAGAAGGCTGGAACAGTTTTTGCTTAAGTGCAAGCTCACTAGACATTAACATGGGCAATGTTCTTCCTTTCTGGATGCATGGCATGCTGCCTCTTGACCAGTAGAAAAAAGCATGACTTCCTCTCTCAGTATATTGGTACTGCTTTGCTCTTACATTTTACTGATACCATCTCATATGATCTACCACTTGAAACTTTCAGATTTTTTATTTCAGACACAAGAGTTCCAGGGCTCTCTCAGTGCTGCCAGCCGCTTGTCAGGTGCTTATAACCTTGTCTACGCCCTAATGCTTCCTAGTAGGACTACATAAATTTATTTATGTGAAGCCTATGTACTTGCTACAATTTACTTCCTGAGTAAGTAAGTAACCACCTCCACCAATACTGGAGCAAAATGTAAAATAAAAAAGCTTTTAATGTTTTCCATTTCCCTTCTCTTTAACTCAATGGCCACTATGTCAGGCTGCAAAATAAGAATAATACCTTAATTAATCCAGCAACTTCAGGGTTAAACTCTGGACTTTTGGTATACTGAAGAAATAATGTACAAATTCTTTTCCTCAGTCCTTCCAAGTTGCACTCTTTCACCTCCCTTGACATAAGATCAATTTCCCTGTCAATTAATGCCCCTATTTCCTGTGTTAATTTACATTCATGTTCCTGAAAAGAAAAAAAAAAAAAAAAAAGAGAGAGAGAGAGAAAGGAAAATAAACAAACTGCACAACAATAAAGAAGCAAACAGAATCATTCAATGAGACATGAAAGCAACCTATGGGTTCTATGCCCATTCTTGTTAATATCTCAGGGAAAAAAATTGCCAATGAAACAACTGTAAAATTACAAAAAGTGAGAATGCTTACAGAATCTGTTTTAAGGGGCCTGTATATGTATACCAAAGCTGTGAGGAACTGTAAGCCTGGAAGCACTAAAAGATACTTAGCAGAGGTACTCAACAAGTGCAAAATTTTAAGTCTTGAAAAGCCCAAAGAAATATTTCCCTAAGAAGCTTCCTTTGACTATGAAATTTGAGGTGTAATATGGATGGGTTTAAAAAAATGCCACAAGAAAATCCAAAAAATCCACCATACAAAAGGCATGGGGGACTTTGACAGTATGCCTGGAAATCAGTCACTTCAATATTTCAAATGCTTGGCAGGAGATTCTCCAGAGAGAGAGACATAAGAAGTGAGTAAGTTCAGTGATTTCTCAGGTAAAAGAGAGTGCTGATTTACAGAATTCACTTGTTTCACTACAGCCTAATTGACTTGTATTAAGATGGGCAAGAGCTCATAAACCAGAAGTGCTCTCAGTGCCAGAGTGACTTTAAATCAAATACTGGCACTACTAAATCAATCAGCAAGATGCTTTCTTGTTTTAATAAGACCAGGAAGCAGCATTTTATTCTAGGCTGACGTCAACAGTATCATCCTGAAAGGACCTTGAAACTCATTCTTTTTGTACATGAATAAATAAATAAAACCAATATGAAAGACTAAAAAAAAAAATGAAACCAGCTTCTAATTCATTGGGAACGCTAGCAGCAACAGTGGGGGTGAGGAGTGAGGAGCAAAGAGAAGGAAAAAATCAGTATTTTCTACCCATAACACTGGTAATCCAAACTAAGAATAGATATGGTTCTAAACAGATATTTCAAAGAACTGAGAAAGAAGAAATGGCAATCACCACATGCATCCCTGCCATGCTTCTCATAAGGTTGATATTAAGTAGTAAACTAAACTTTGTACTAGAGTTGTGTTACGTATTAACATACAAAGTCTAAAACCATGGGGTTAAAATTCTAACACAACCTGAAGACAAATATGCACATGATAAAGTGAAATATGAATTTAGAGTGTATCTGGAATGTAAATTACACTCACACACCAGGTAGTACATGAGGTCCTATAGCTGCCAGCCCACCATCATGCCATTTGTCTACCAGCAGCAGCATTGCTTATGTGTGAACATAATTAAATGACAGCACCTTTGGAAAGTACAGCTTCAAGCTAAACATAAATAGAAAAGTAAACCTTACCTTGACTGTACATTTGAGTGTTAACAGCACAGATATCCTCTCATCTTTTGGGATGTCCTTTGTGTTAATGCTGCGGTAGATTTCAAGCAGTTCTTTTCCACGGAGAGTGCTCTGTGTATCCATTTCAGTGATTTTTCCATCAAATGCTTTCCACCTCCTAGGTTGTGCACACTTCAGAAACAATTTTTAGAACTCTGACCACCAGCTGAACAATTGCATTTTACATCAAGTTTCATCAGAGGAAATAGGGACTTAACATTAATGCTTGACTAATGCAAAATGCTAATTCTGTTGTCGAGATTGATACAGCACCTCTTCCACCAAAGCAAACAATCAACTGCACGCTTTATTTAAAGCTGCAGGTCATGACAATTTCAACTTACAGGATATTAAAAGCAAATAATATTCTCCTACAGGGATACGCTCTACTTCTTTAAAGTGAAATTACTGACAGTAGTGCTAGAATACATTTGCTCTGTATTTCACTTTGCAGTCATAAATCCCTTCAAACTATCAGTAAAAATCAATAGGTCTGCTGACTGTGTAAAGATTGCAAATTTAAGACCTTAAAGTCTACTGCAGTAAAAAATATCTCCAGGGAAGGGTTCTATTTATACTAGTTGAAGAAAAGGAGAGAAGGAATACACATTGTTGGAGCTAGGGCAAGGTATGTGGTTACAGTTTATCAAATACTTCACCTAGCTTCTTGTTTGCTAACTTAACCACATACCATATGCCTTATGCTTCAATTATCTCTCTGCACATCTTTAACTTTTAAGGACATTAAGAAGTTACACGATGTCACCTGCCCCACGAGGTCTGAAAAACACAACCATTTTCTTCTTTCCAGAAGACTGGTTTTGGTTGCAAATCACACTGTTACATAAGGAGAGATATCCAGTTCCAACAGAAAAAGTTTTCATATGCCTCTCCCCATCATTACTTAACTCCACTTCCTTTTATTAATGGGGAGAGGTATTTGAAATATCTTCTATGTCTTAATAATTCTCTTTCGCTATATTTGGAACTTAAGTGTTCACTAACACTCACAAAGTTGACCTTGCAGTCTCAGTGTGACCTAACAGCAGCAACACTTCATGTAGCATTCACATGCCTAGCAGTTTTCTGGACATGACCCCAGCACTGACACAATCATTATTTTGATGGAATAGACTTGATATGATGATAAGTAATAAAAATACCAATAATATTAGATAGCTAGAAGACAAATGATTAGTTATCACCACAATAAAAACAGACTTTTCCTCACTTTTAAACAAATAAAGTTAGGTAAGGAAAAGAAACACAAAATAATTTTTAAAAGGATTTAACATCAAATTGATGACATTTAATTACATTATCAGTGGGGGTAGAACTCTAATTAAAGAAGATACTGTTAACCAGAGGTCACATTTCAGAGCCAAAACTAAGAAATGCAAAAGCAAAACCAGATATTAGCTTAAAAAAACCCCAAAACAACCAACTCTTAATTACTTGGTGAAATCTTTGAATTTCTGCAAAACTAGAGCAAGGCAATTTTTTCTCATAAATAGGGAGCATTCTACTATATCTTCATTTTGTTTCACTTCATTTTGTTTCACTTCATTTTGTACAATACTAGAAATTCTTAAAAAAAACCCAAAACAAAACAAAACAAAAGAACACCATGCTTGGCAAACAATAAAATTCAGACCGACTTAGTAGGTCTGTCACACTGTCAATCCTTTGTATGTTATATGGGACAAACCATTGTTTTCCATATAGTGGTTAATTCCGTACCTACATTTGATCCTCTTCAATGAAAACACTTAAAAATAACAGAGAAAGTTCATTTGCTTATGCTAGAAAGAATCAGTGGCCAGAGTACAGCCAAGGAAATAATAAAATTAGATTCTTCTGATAATTTGCTAACCCAGTATGTGCAAGCAGTCTTGGTATCCCATTCTGCAAATGACTCTTAATACAGAACAATTGTGTTATTATAATTAATTCTTTGAAAATATATCTGTAACTTCTGTATTTTTTCTTACTACCTTATCATAGCTGGGTATTACATAAAAACATTTTAAAATGAAAAAAAAAAAAATGTTTTTTCCTGAAAAAAGAAAGAATCACAAGTTCTCTGATTTCAGAACTATTTTTCTGTTTTCCAGATTGACACCAGAAAAAGTAAAACTTTGAGATCTTCTGCCAGCTTTCTTTTCTCTTTTAGTCTGCTGGCAGTGCTATGGAATTTACAATAATCCTGTTATCTGTATTACTTCAGAAAGCAAGGCTACTACAACTACACTCTGCTGCCAATGCAAGAAAGCAGAAAAAGCTCCTGAGGTGAGAAAGACACCACCACAGACAGAGAGAAAAAGGCAAATATAACAAAAGAAACCCACTGGATGTGTGCAGAAATAGTAAAAAGCATGAAAGGTATGAACTGACAGTTCATAATCACACACATTCGTTTAAGTAAACACGATAATATAAAAGCTTAATCAAATACTTCCTCTCCAAAGTACAAATGCTGAAGAAGAATGAGCTCAGCATAAAGAAGAACCCCATAGCACATAGTACACACACAACCAGTATCAACCTTCATAAGAGCACACATGCCTGTGGAGGTACATGCTTAAAGTAGCAAAGAAGGGAACAAAGGTTTCCATGGAGAAGCAAGTTTCATACCACATTGGCTATTGCAGCTTGCAGTCTTCAGATGTGAAAGATGTTACTCCATTAACTGGCAAGTGTCCAGATCAACATTACCAGCTCGAAGTTCAAGGAAGAACCAAATAATCCCTAATCAAGCACTTAACAACAAACATAATACTGTAATTTAAAGTGCTTAAATTGCACTGTTACAGTCATAGCAAACCATCCAATTCTGAGATTTACAAAATTATATTTTATATTTTTAAAAAATAAAGAAATTGTTCCTTTTTCTCCCTCTGAGTTAGACCTATGTCAATAGTTTAGAACAATACTTACAATCTTACAGCTGACAGGATAAAAAACCATGAAAAGTTGCACTAATTCAGAAGCTCAACAGATTTTAAAACTAAAAAGATTATAGTCTCATTCATGAAAAACATAATTTATACATTTAATATAAGAATAAATAAATTATTAGTAACTGCTTCAAGAAAATGTCCATTGTTTGGAAAGACAAAATATCTGTTGTCTCTGATATGTCTCCTGATTCTCCAAATGTCAGCTGAGAGTTCTTGAACTGAAGAACATTTTGCTTCTGATTCTAGATGTAAGAAAACTGTACAGCTTGTCAGAATATGTGCTGGAATTAATCTGTACAAGTAGGACAGTGGAAGTCAGTCCTTATGGGAAAAGTAACGACAGAGTTGGTTAAGGGAGAAATATATTTGCTTTGACTATTCCAGGCTTTTTTTTTCTTAGAAGGTAGCAGAACAGATTGTAAGTAGTAGAAGCAAACATAACACATAGAAATGATTCAAGGCTTTGAAAATATTCCTAATTATTTGGTTTTCTGGGCTTGGTTTTTCATTCTTGAAAGCAGTAAGACAGAAAACAGTCATACCACAGCAATAAATGTGGTAACAGTTCCACCAACATTTCAGTTAAGTAATTTGTTCATAATGAGAAATGCAATACATTTTATCAAATCACATTTAGAGTACATTTCCCCTGCATCAGTAATAAAAAGAATGAAAAAAAGTCTCTTTCGGACAAAGCCACTATTTTTAATTTTGAGCATCAAATAGTCAAAATTTTAAAATAATAATAATAATAAAAAATTAGATAGCTAAAAACCATTTCTGTTGCAGTATTTCTTTTCATAATCATGTCAGATACTTTTAAAAAAACTATTACTTTTTCCAGTGGCTGGACATCTACCTAAAAGGACAAGGCTTTTTGTATTTTACATTTAGATACCATTGAATTTAATGCCATTTTAAATCATCTTTGTGAATGAAGGAATTCTCATATTTTTTTATAGAGACTGAAGAACACTTACCTTAAATATCATCCCCAAGATTATACAAGAATGAAATCTTAGGTTAAAGTTCAAATGGAACTAAAGTTAGTGGTTTAATAACTGAGTTCAACATCAGATTCAAACTCTTCTTTATGCAAAAAAACAGAATAAATGCTTTCTTTAAAGACAGACATATGATGACCAGAGGCCTATGCTCATTTGGGAAATTAATGGCAAATTTACTTCCTGAAGGATAACATATTCCAGTAATTCTAATTTATTAGATTTGTTGTTTATATTTTTTATGGTTAACAGCCTTAATGATGCACTGTTCAACCTTTAATCAGTCTGACAGCTATGAAGTTCTCAGCTTGGAAAAAGAAATTTACTGAAGTGTATTGATGTGAACAACCACATAATTTGGATCCTTATGACATTAGCATTCACATGATTAACTGTTAAAAACTACAGAAGTTACTTTTTGTACTTTGCAGATGTATTTTCTGTTCCTGTACTTTGGTATTCTTTACGCTAAGCCTAATAACTGACCTTAACCAGAAGGTGCATTATTGCTTTTTGTTGATTCTCCACATTGGCATCTTGTTTGTGCATCCCAATGCAAGCAATCAGCTGTGTCTCTTCCTCCAGAAGTGCACAAAGCGCTGCCTTTCTTTCAGCTCCAGAAAGAGTTCTGTTAATTCGCCCAGTCTCCTCCTGCACCCATACTGCAAACACAAATATTTAGGGTATTTTTTACAAGATGCTTTCCAGCAAAACTTCTGCTTTCATATTTAAGAAACAACATAATAGTCTTTTCTTTCAATATTCACTAAAACCCAGTTTCCATTTTAGGGAATTGATGGTTATGGTTATTTTCGAAACATGCAAGATGGCCTAGAAATGAATGTAAATTATACAGATGTTCTGTGAGAATATGTATGTGTACATCAATTCCAGACTGACAATTTGTACTCCAAACTCAAGGATGAGTAGGAGAAAAAAAGCTCAATGTGAGAATTTAGCTCCTGTGGAAATGTATGATGAAATGGCTGTGTCTAACTGTGGCACCACCAGTACTCAGTGCTGAGAATATTACTGCTTCTCCCTGCATAAATGAGTAAAATCTAAAGACACTTGAAGTCTTCCAAAACTGAGATAAAACTTGACTGACGGTCACATTTTGCACTCCAGGCCTTACACTGGATATTTCAGTGGTATCACCTTTTTGCCATCCAAGGCAAATGGATATACATTAATAACTCCACCGTCATTGCTTTCGTCTCCCTTTCCTCTTCTACAACATAACCCTCCAAGTGGGTGAAAGTGGCCATAGAAGAAGCCACAGAATGGTCATGACAGCAGCACATGGATCAGTACACGCTGTATAAGAATCTGATCCCCTGACACTTATGCAGCTGATACACAGACGACATGGCTTTAGAGAAATCTGCTTGTAAAATCAAACTGTGTTTACTGCCTTTGCATATCCTGCAAGAATTCCTGGCTTCTCTGAAGACTCTGATCCAGTTCAAATGCTTCTGGAGTTTTGTAAGGAATTTTATAAGATCCAAAACTTCAATGTTGCTGAGTAACACCTCAAAGTGTTGTTATCATCCCAGAAAAACTACGCAAAAGCAAAACCCAGCATATAAGAAAGCCATCCAATATGTGATGCACTGAAAAAGCCTGTAACATCCTGCTTCAGGTAAGATTAGAGGCAGGAGAAGGGAAAGGAGGAAGGCTTATTTTCTGCCCATGGCCTCTTATCTACAATACCTTATATTTTCCATTTTTAAATATTTCAATTAATTTCCTTAAGGCTGTCCAAGCTGTAATATGACAGCTGTCTGACAAGTTCTGAGAACCCTAAGATATATATTTTATATGAAGCCAATTCAGCAAACAACAGCATTATATAGAATTAATTTACGTGAAGCTTTATTATGCTTGAAGGGAGCAGAAACTTCTTATGTGGAGATAATAAATACAGTAAGCAATTTTATGCTTTCAGAAGTGAAGAAGCTGTCATGCACCTGGATACTCACCTCTTGATTCCCCATTTACATGCAACCAAGTTAAAATACTCCTGTTAGATTATCCGTTCTATAGGCAGAGATTTTACTCATTACCATTTTTATTCCAGTGTTTATAAAGTAAAATAGTTCATACTTTTCAAACAAATAATAAATGCCTATGCATACATGCTGAATATATAGACAGATGTCATTTGCACTATATAGTCAACAGGCAAGTTTTTATACCATCAGGAATTGCTTGTACTGGCTGACCCTGTAATAGAAACCCTGTTGTGATTGCAGCAATAACCTTCACAGATCTCTGGAGGACAATAGTTTCATTATTTTACTGTCACAATGGTTTAGCTTGTGTAAACTGTTGGCACTATAAGAATGCAGAATTGTTTCAGATGCAGGTAGGAAAAAAACCCCAACTTCCTAGAATCATTAAGCTCTATTAAAATGAAGAGCATGATTGCATGCATGTAGAGAAGCAACTAGTCAACACCAGTTGACAAAAACTAACAGTGAGATTGATACCAGACCATTATTTTTAACAAAATATTTTAAAAAACCAAACATTTCAAATACTGAATTTGTTCTGTTCTGTTTTGAAGAGGCACATGTTTTTTTCAGGTTGCCTAGATATGAAATTCCTGAACATGCTTGGTTGAAAGTTTTATTACTTGTGAATACAAAGTCATTAAATAAAGCAAGAGACACTTGCATAACTTTAAGTTTCAAGCTTAAAATTATAATGAAGATCAGCACTCTTCCATAACTTTAATTGAACTTGGTTGTTTCTACTGCACATAAGACTTTTCACACTTAAAAAACAAAAAAAGAAAAATCAGTGTGGATTATACATCTGATAGCACACTAGTCTGGAAGCCTGTTTTTGAAGAAATATTGCAGAAAATCAGATGCAAAATAGTGAGACGTCTCATAAGTGGCAAGAAAAAAAGTACTGTTTGAGTACCTTGGCTTTTGATTATTTAGTCAGATACACCTTTAAAAGAGCTTGATTCTTGGGAAGTGAGAAGCAAACTATCTGCAAAGAAAAAGAAAGGGGTAGACAACCCCAAACAAACCACAAATCTCATGGATACCATTCCAACAACTGCAAAGTTCAAGACAAGCAATAATTTTTACATTTGTCACGAACAGTGATATTTATAAATCATTTATTAATTCAGACAAAGCAATTTTTTCAATGCCACACAAAGTATGACAGCATTAAAAGATTTGTGTATAACTTGGGAATTCTTGAATCGTGATCCTATGCTCTATGAATAACACATGCCATCAAATTTATGCCCAGTTTACCACTGAAGACAGAGCTGAGATGGTTTAAGGTAGGGCAGGTGAATTTGCAATGAAGTATCCATTAAGTCAGTTCTGCTACAGCGACAATAATATCCAAACAGTCAAAGAGATAGCCCATAAAGCACTGTAGCCTAGATAACATAAGAGTTGTTACAAGTCACAGTAAAAACCTCGGCCTTTAAAAGAGACATTATGAAAAACCAAAATTTTTCTTGCTGTTTCATTATATGCTGGTACGAGTCCATAGCTTTTGACTGTTCTTATTTTTCCAAAAGGACATATTCTAAGTTTTTTGTTCAATTTGCACATTACATTCTTGTAAGGTTTTATGTCAATTATCTGCAGTATCCACATTATTTTTCTGGAAAAGTTTAGAGATGCTTGCCTGTATTAGACATCATCTGCTACAAGAACAGGAAACATATGACTTTCAGAATGTCCTGCAGAACTCCTAAGAGATTTTTAAAATTTTGACAACACAGTTTTGTGAACACATGGAACAAACTAGAAAGGAGAAAAAGCATCAGTAGAGGACAACTAAGACAAAAGGAATAACTTCTCTCATATGTTGTAAAATTCTGTACAAAAATTTAAACCATTATAAGAAAAGTCTATAGCAAATAATGAATTATGGATCTTAATACTAATTTCTTCACAGAATTGTTTTCAGCATCCTAAATGCAGAGTGAAAGATAAAAGCAACTCTGATCTAAAAAAAAACCCCTTTTTGTTCTTCTAACTTTAGACATAAATAAAAAATGCTAATAAAACTGCCAAGTAGCACTATTCTACAAGCCAGTTATTGCCCAAAAAAAAGGTGTACTGGTTTTGGCTGCAAGACAGTTAATTTTTAGTTACAGTAGCTTGTAGGGCACTGGATGTTGATAACACAGGGACGTTTAGTGATTGCTGAACAGTGCTTACAGAGCATCAAGGCCTTCTTTTTGTTTCTAGTAATACATGCAAGTAAAATAATTATTTTAAAATGAAACAAATTCCACTGTAAAGCAGAAAAAAATATCATGGAATTATCTATAAAAACACATAAAAATACTAAATTTGTTTTAAACAAACGGTACCATTTTGTTGCTTTAAGGATATCCCTTTCAGAAAACTTACATTCCAAGTCGTGGTACAGTAGCTCAAAGTCTTCTTTTGTTTTAGGGTTCAGTTTTTTCTCATACTCCCTTCTCAATTTTTCTTCTTTCTCCCTTTTTTTCTGTAATTCTTCTTGTGCCTCCCATGCAAGCCTTGCCCTCCTCTGTTCCTTCAGATTTCGTACTAAATTTATAGCATACCAACGACGGAAATATTTCTGTATTACTATTACCTGTATGTGATACAATACCAAAGAATCGTGAATTTAAAATAAAACAACATAGTATTTTTTAGTACAGTATTTTTTTTCTTAACTGTTCTTTTCTCCAGCTCCCTAACTACATTTTGTAAGATTTTTCTTGTGCTTAAACTAATTTAAATGTTACAAAATCAGTCATGTACTATTTATTTAAGTACTAGTATGATTACTCAGTTAGGTAACTGCAGGAATTAAAGCAGTGAGTACAGTGGATAAAATCTGTTCTAATAATCAAATCAAAATACAAACTACATTTAAATATCTACTTTTCTTTTTCAAATTTTCCCCTAAAATGTCTTCTGCCATGTACTGTTTTTATTCTTTTCCTTATCTTACTACCAATTTACAGGGTGGAAATGTAGACACATTTGTAAAATTTCTTGTTACAAAAATCAACACATAGACACAAAATCAATGGCATTTTGTTTGTGAACAAATAATGAAAGTGAAATTACTAATGCTGTTGTGACAGAACTGATAAAAGAAAATTAAATCAATGACCTTCCCAAGCTGTGGCTATTGAGGACTGGGGAAATGTCTACAATATGTTAAGGGGGGATACTGCACAAGCCTCACCTTCTGCTGGCTGAGTTAGCACTTGGACTACAAGCAGTTTAGTCAGATCAATACCATGAGATACTATGCATTGTTCAGCATCAATAGCTGTCAAGCACAAAATCCTACTAATGCACAGTCTCTGGTAACATCTTAATCTAAAACTTCTCTTGAATATATCCTCAAACAGTATTTCAATATGGACCTACACTGCACTGTGCAAATCCATCACTGTGAACCAACACCAAGCTATCCCTCTACTGTGCATTACAAGTTACCTATACCTACACTACAGATTTCAGTGTCACAGTAAAACTTATTGGTAGTCCTGAGGAAATTACTCCCTTCTTGGGTTCCACTTCTAAATGAGGCTCACTGCTGTCACCTACAGCTGTCTGGTTTAAGTTCTTACAAGAAAACTTCTACCTAAAAAATTTCAAAGATCTTGCCAAGCATGTCAATACAATTACCAATACAATTATTCTACTTAGACACTTGGGGAATCAATTTTTTCTCCACTCAGTTGGATTCAGACTGTCTATTTTCAGCAATCAAATTAATAACTAGATTATTTACAAAGCAGTGCCTCACCTAACACAATTTAGGGCATATTTGAGTTATATATGCAGTCACAGAATACATGGTTTCCCAAAAGCAGTGTGGAATGCCTAAATGGCATCCTCTGCACAATGAATATGCAGAATCTGTAATCTGAATTGCCTTCATGAGGCAACTCAGTGCACCAGAAAACCCCACAGGCCGACTGCCACTGTTTGAACAGCCCATTTCTACCTCAGTGTCAAAGCAGGGAGCTTGACCAGAATCCAAAATGGATGTTTGCCCACGGTAACCTCCTAAGTCTGATGAAATAACCCAACCAAACGGACAATACAAAACTCAAAAGCTGACTGCAGATCTCCTAAATCCTAACCCAATACTCTGTTTCAGGCCATACGTTAAGCATATAGCTTAGATTCCTCCAAAGAGATCACAAGAATATTGTTGGAACAAGCCTGTTTTAATCCTTAGTGCTCTACATGGAAACTTAACTGTCACTGTGAGACAGAAAACAATAATTTCAGAATTCTTAATATTTAAGAAATTGCAAGGTATCAAATGTCATTAAAACCACAGAGCAAACACAGGCTTCCCCTGTATCTGAAAGATGACAAAAGATGAGCATAAGAAGACATTTACAGTTTCTTTTAAATTCAGTCTTTGAACACTCTGAACACTCATTAAATATTCAGATAACATTCACAATATGTTATTTTACAGATAGTTTCAAACAGATAAGGACTTACTGCTTCAAGTCTACGTTTATGGTATTCATCCGCTGTAAAATACGTTCCTGGAGTAATTAGTTTGTCAGTCATGTTTGATACATAAAGGCCAATTTTAGTCATCTGTGTTGATGTTGTATTTCTTGTTTGTTGTTGCTTATTTTTTTCCACACCTGCCTGGGGAGAAAATGAATGTCAGATGAAAAGAAAATACACACAGATTTTTTTTTTCCTCATTACAGTAAGTGGCAAAATTAGCTATTTGCAATAAAAATCACAAGACTAATGATATTTATCCACTGAATACTTTAATTTGAACATTCATCTCAGATTTACTTCCTATTTCCTATCAGAAATAGTGTCACCATTCCATTCCATTTGGCAAAAAACAACATTCTAAAAAGACATTGAAAAGCCTTTACCTGTATTCCCTTACAAAGTAACGGAATTCCTTTGTCAGGTCGTTTTTTGGGTATTGTTTGTGATCCTGCATTATGAAATTCTACTCCTGTTGACACGTTCCTAAATCCACCCAGAAAAGGTTTTTTATAGGTAGGTCTTTCAATTTTTACAAGTACTTCTTGAAATGAATCCGAACCTGTTAAAATGGAAGTTCCAAAATATAAATATTGTTTGTTTCAGTAACACATCTAGATTAGACCATGATTCTATATGTATCAATAAACGTGCAAAACCAGCACTTACCTGTTTCTACTCTGACAGTTATGACATCAGGCATGCAGTAATCCTGTTGAATGACTTTTTCAGGAAAGCCTCCCTGATTCTCAGGCTGGACAGTTCCATCAAAATTAGACCCAGACTTCCTAACTGTTTCATTATCCTCAGTCGTGCTTGCTAAAAATAAAACCAAAGTTCATTCCTGAGAAGTTTCTCAAAACAAACAAAAAAGTTTACCCCAGGATGATTTTATTGTAACACTGCAACACAGCATAATAATAGTTTTTTCAGCTGGAAAGACAGTCTATTTGAAATCTGAATTAGTATTATCATGCAATTTTAAAGGCAAAATCTAATGTAAAACTGTCTCTGCATAAAGATATTCCTAGCCAGCTATTCAGAATGAGAGGGGATGAATGCAACCCAGCCAAGAGGAAAGTAGTCGGCAAGTCCATACTAGGAATTGTTATTCACTGTGCTCAGGTGCTGAACAGGATATGCTCCCTTCTGCTCTGAAGAACTAAGAAAATGGGGTCCTGTATTGGGAAGAGGAAATTACTAAAGGCACCCAGAACACTGAAGAACGGGTGTAGGAAATGATGGAACATTTGGGGGACTGCAGGAGAAAGACAAGGATAAAGAAGGGTGGCAGGTAGGTTACAGGGGAATCTAAGAAAGGTAAAATAGTAAGGTAATGTCTATAATATTGGCTAAACTTAATTTAAATGCACACAAAAAATATGTATACCTACTCATACGCATTTCTGGAAATAAGGATGAATCTATACAATTCCATATAGAAATGATTACTAAAGTTTGAGATAAAAAATGATTTTTTCACTTTTGGAGTATGTTTCATTTGAGAATTTAAAAAGTTACTGCAGAACCAAATCCCAGCAAGTTTACACACAATGAGGGTGTGTGGGGGTGCAAGAAGCTATAACTAAATTGAAGAAAAAATATCTCTTTAAACCATGAATGCCCAACATTTTAACAACTTTACCTGTCTCTGTCCCATTTGCTGTATTCTCTCGTAGTACTGAATTTTGAGAAGGAGACCACTGGTCCCAGCCCTCCTCTGACCGTGCAGTGTCTGCAGGTTCTGGAAGCAGAGGTTTCTCCGCTGGGTCCCCAGCCTCTCTGACTGCTTTTCCTTGTGAGGATGCAGGTGATTGCTTTGCACCTGACCCTTCTGATGTAACAACTTCAAAGCCATCTGATGCATCTGCCATTTCCTAAAGCATCAGTTGCATGCCTTTAACCTTTCTGCAAGAATAATCACAGGATCTATTATAAACTGCATACTTGCACATTTCTACTACCAGAAATAGAGGTAACTTACAGTCCTGAAAAGCTTTTCCTGTACCTATTGCCAAAAGGGCTATTAAGAACAGCTTTGCTTCCACCAAACAGAAAGCACTTTTGGCTAGTGTTTACCAAACGTAATACTCCAACGCAGGTAGCCGGCACAGTTCTTTTTACCTCTGCTTCTGTGCCTATAGAACAAGACAGTCCAAGGGGTCTTTACCCAGAGACAGCACACCTTTACGGTTTTCCGAGCTGCCACCGAAATGACACGGGCTGGAAGAGTCCTAAGCCCATATTCCTAAAGATAAAACCGCAGCCAAACGCGCACCACCCCCGGCGGGAGCCCGATGCCGCCAAACCGCAGTGGCGGGCGGGCTGCCCCGGGCACGGTGCGCAGCGGCCGGGACCCCGCAGCCCCCGCCCCGCGGCACCTCCGGCCCGGCCGCGCTCCGGGCGCGCTGCTCGCCCCGCCGGCGGCGCCGTAGCCATGGCAACCGGCCCGGGCGCCCGGGCAGCGCGAGCGTGCGCACTGCGGAGCGGGGCCGGGCCGGGCCGGCTGAAAACGTACCGGGGCCCGGCAGGGCCGGCAAGAGAGGGGAAGGGAAGCGGTGCGAAAGGACGAGCAGCTGCCCTGGTTCCCTCCAGCCCACAGCACCTGCACGAACCCGTGCTGGCGGCCTGGAGCCGCTCCAGTGCTGGCACGCCCGCAGCGGCCGTGCCTACACTGTGACCCTGAGCAGGGCGATGATGAGCTCCTGCCAGCCCATAGCTGCACTAATGTACGAAAACACCGTTTTTCCATACATCTACGTGCTGTAGATAGTAGCAGAAGTTGTACTAAGCCCCCAGAACTGCTGGATATGGAGAAAGGGTGTTGGGTGAGTGTTGCCAGCCTTCGTGCCACACACCGTCACTTCCGAGCTGTGTGGCACTGCCTACCCGTGACACGGGCTGTGCCTTTCAGTGCTGTTCTCCCTGCAGGGTCCCCGGTGTCAGGAATGAGGCTGCTAAGTGGAAATTAAAGACATGTCAATGAGAACGAAAGCCATGTGAAATTGAATTTCCTGGCTGTGTTTGAGCTGCCATTTTTCACACAACTCCAGCAAATGTTTTCAGCATGCTACAAGAAAACTGGGGGGACAGTTACATCACACAACTTTCGGATGTGAAATATACAGTTCTATGTTGCAAGGCCAGGAGAATCCTGAAAAAAAGCATTTCAGCAGGCATTGAATTTAAATACATACTCAATAATTGTATGCCATGATCATTGTTACTATGTCTCCCGGACATTGTTCAGCACTTGAATGTGGGCCTGCTTCCCATAAAGGACAGGAATTTCCCATTACCACTGCTAATGCTGTTTTTTCTAAAACCTTGTTTGAACTCTCAGAATAGGATCGCCATTAATCCTATAGAAAGATACTGTCATTTGTGTCCTTTTGCCACTGTTATATAGTCAATTAAATATTCAAACTAATTTTCAAGTTGCAATTTTTTTTTTTCCTAATGCAATAGCATATAAACTTTGAATATTGAAATAACACTAATAAAAAGCAGCTTTCACTCATCCCCTATTGCTTTTGGTTTTGGGTTCAGAACACAGCCACTCAGGTTAAGTAGCACATATGGCAGGTTAGGAATGACAAAAACCTCAGTACTTGCTCTCTTCTCGTGATGGGAAAATTGTTTTTCTGATGTAACAGGTTCTGTCTCTAGTAGGTCCCATCCTTGCAGATAAACTTTTTTATTCACGTGACTTCAGATGATCTCAAATTAAAGATCTAAAGTTTGTTAACTCTAAATAGATTTCAGTGACTTACCTTACCATTACAACAGATTATAAAGTTCTTTGCATCATCATGTATTTCTAACAATTAGAAGAGAAAAATCAAGCAAAATCATTAGTTAGCCTTCAAATTATACCTTGCTAGCATATTCATTCCTCTTGGAATAAATTAGGACCTGTATGGAGGACACTGATACGGGTTTGTGAAAGGGAGATGAGAGTATGCTTTTATCTGAGAAACTCAGTTTTAGAAGGCCACAGATCAAATTTCAGCAGCAGTGGGACATGAAAAAACTTCCTCTCCCCTGGGGCATAATTAATGAGCTTATAGGAGAGCTGTTTTCAATCACATGACAAATATATCTTTAGAAGTAGAGAAAATAACTGAACAAGAAGAGAGCTCAGCAAATGTCTCAGTTATGGAAGAGCAGAAAGAATTCCAATAGTTGCTACCATATTCTGGCAACTTTCCTTCCCCCCACCTCCAGTATTTCATGCCATAATAATTTATATTAGGCTTTGGGGGATTTTTTGATTTTTTTATTTTTATTCCTCTCAGGTCAGCTCAATACTTATTACCAAAATCCATTAATTTTCATTACTCATGTAACAGCATTGACCTCATTCAAGGGCCAGTGTAATCCCTTAATATTTCTCATGTGAAAATTGTTTGTTAACTTTAGCAAAGTCCTCTTCTAGAATGCCATCTAGTGGTTTTACTTAGGAAAAGACCAGCTTCTACCTTGGTCAAGACTGAAAAATCCTTCAAAACCAAACAATGAAACTAAGTATTTTTCACTCTTTTAATTTTCAAAATTAAAAAAAAAATCTGTAATTATAGTAATAATAGTTGGGGGGAAAAATCCAATGCTAAAGAATGCAGTGAAAATAGCTTCTGGAGTGAGTACCTTGGGAATACTGTTTTTCTCTTCTATTGACCTACCCCCCAATACCATTGCATAAAATATGATATAAATTTGAAATTAATAATTTATAATAACGATGTCATAAGTAAATTTATAAGTCTAAAAACTATGAAAAAACAGCTATGACCAAGCATGTTGTGTAATTAAGTAGTGCATATATAAATACTTATTAAACTGCAGATTTTTGTGATATACATATATTCCTGTCTTTAAACTTGCAGGAATGTTACTAATGGTCTTGGAAAAAAAATCAGTAAATGCAAACCTGCACAGTACCCTTAGATCTAGTCTGGATATTTTAATTGGGATTTATAATATGAAATCTCTAAACAAAAGCTTTCAAAACAATCATAGAATACCTTGAGTTCCCAGATCACGGAATATTCTGAGTTGGAAGGAACCTGCAAGGGACCATCAAGTCCAACTCTTAAATGACTGGCCCATCCAGGGACTGAACCCACACCCTTGGTGTGATTTAGGCCTACACTTTAATCAACTGAGCTAATCTCAGTGCTCAACCACCCTCTCTGGTTGAAAAACATTTCCTAATAGCAAACCTTGACCCTTCGTGGTACAGCTTCATGCTGTTCCCTTGGGTCCTCTCACTGGTCACCAGAGATGAGTCCCTGCTCTTCCCAATGTTGAAGAGAGAATGTTGAAGAATGTTGAAGAATGTTGAGGTAAGGTCTCTCCTCAGTCTCCTCTGCTCCAGACTGAACCGGCAGCCACTCCTCATAAGGCTGCTACTCAAGGCCCTTCACCATCTTCCTTGTCCTCCTTTGGACACTCTCTAAAAGCTCTTTATCTTTCTTGTGGTGCCCAAAACCACCCCCAGCACTTGAGGTGAGGTTGTCCCAGTGCAGCGCAGAGGACAATCCCCTCCCTTCCCTGGCTGCTGATGCTGTGCCTGATGCTCCCAAGGACAGGGCTGGCCCTCCTGGATGCCAGGGCACTGCTGACAGATTCAACTTGCCATTGAGCAGGACCCCCAGGTCCCTTTCTGCAGCGCTGCTTTCCAGTATCTCATTCCTCAGTCTGTCCATACATCCAGGGTTGTCCCATCCCAGGTGCAGAATCCAGTACTTGTCTCTCTTCCACTTCATACGGTCAGTGCTTGCTCATCTCTGTAATCATTGAGGTCTCTCTGCCTTCAAGGGAGCCAGCAGCTCCTCCCAAAGTATTGTCATCAGTAAACTTATGTCCTGGGGTGACTTTATGATACTGGTATCCCCAATCGTCTGGTTTATGTTATATATTAAGTTCTGCACCTTTAAGACTGGCTTTGAGAGCAAGAGAGGGGGAAGAAGAAGCGCGCAGTTTGTGTTAAGGAAAAACATCACTCCCCCACATCCCGCTCCTGGACTGTGGTGTCTGCAGCACGGACAGACAGCGGGACAGAGCTTCTCTCTGGCTTTTAGTTAGTTTTAGCTAGCTGAGGCAGAGGAGTTCCCTGGACCTTTGTTTGTTTTTTTCCCCAATTTCTTGGATCTGTGCAAGCCTGCTCTGGACTGAACACCCAGCCAAACCCCGGGAGCTCACGCCTGTGGCCCACCGGGGCCTGGGCCTCGGCACTTTCCAGCGCCGGAGGGACTGATAAGAACCTGAGTGAGCCGAGCTACACCACATGAAAAGGACTTTTCTTCCTAGACTTGCCATCCCATCGAACAGCAAGAGGTTTTATTATTTAATATTACTCAATTTCTGTTAAATAAACAGCTTTTTCCACTTCTCTCTAAGGAATTTTTTTTCTTTTCCCGGACCAGTTAGTGGGGAGGGGCATTTCCCTGGGGAAATCCCCATTTGGAGTTTTCCTTCCTAATTTGCCCTAAACTAAGACAAATACAGTTTTTTTGGCGCCCGAACAGGGACAAGAGAAAGTGGAAAAACCTGTACTGAGTGTTGGTTGTATTTATTCTGTATTGGGATAAAGCAGTCAGTAGCCATGTTGTTTGGATACATAATGTCTCTTGGGGTGGAGGCCTTCATGTGGACCTGGTCCCTAAAAGTTTTTGAGGTTTTAATACCTGTCTTTGCCCTCTTTCACAGTAGAGGGGCACGGATTAGAATGGTTATTGTGCTGGGCTCGGTGATAATGATTTATAGGAAGTTTATAGAACTACTGAAGTTTCTGTCAGGTATGTTTGGTTTATGGTTTCTTCGCCCGACCCTGCCTCCCAGTCCCAGTAGCACATTTTGGGAGTTTATTGGT